ACTAAAATTCTCAAGAGACCTTCCAATCCTCCAAGACCTATAGAACAAAAGAGAGTGGTCAGTCCCATTTCAAAAAGATCTAGTGTAACCACCAAATCTGTCCGGAACCATTCATCTCGAACTTCTTCATTTGTTTTCATTCTAAAGCTAATGGTACAATTTTTACTCCTCAATCTACAAACCAAAGCGTGCAATCAATCAAAGCTAAAAGTGTTAAGAAAACAATTTTTCCAAATTCTTCAAAACAAAACCTTATTTGGAAAGTTAAAATTCACAAAGATGTTACAACTCCGGAAGATACAGTAGTTACCACTACTCCGGAAGTTCAATGTCTGAAGAAAGTTGTTCCAAACTCTTATGTCATTGAGTATGACTACTGGATAGATAAAAGGACCATGACCTTTTGTTTGTTTCCTAATGAATCTAGGAACAAACCTTCCAAACTATTTGTTGCTCAAAAGTCACTACTGAAACCTAAGAACCGTGCCTTTGTCTCAAAACCTAACTTGGAGCCTAAAAACTCCACATCTCACTAATTTTTGCAGGCACTTTGTGCTTCGGAGCAAGAGACAATATAATATATTGATAGTGCTTGCTCCATGCACATGAAGGGGCAGAAGGACTTTCTACGAGATCACAAACTTTCTCCAAATGTTGGTTACATGATATATAGAAAAAACTCCAACTCACAGATTTATGGTTATGGCATCCTCACAATGGGCATTTATCTATTTCGAATGTAGCTTACGTAGTCGACCTAAAGCACAACTTAATATGTATAGCTCAACTTAGTGACTCAAATTGTCAGGTCGAATTTTGCAAGAATCACAACTACGTGATGACCGAAGACAAAAAAGAATGTCTGATCAAGTGAAATCACAACAACATGTACCCACTCGACATCAACATGATCATTGGCAAAGCTAAACTTTGCCTTCTCTCCAAAGCACTCTCTAAAGTCAGTTTGTTATGTCACCGAAGGCATGCCCACCTAAACTTTCATTACATGAATGATCTTGTGTCTAGCGAAATGGTCAGAGGACCTCCGCTCCTCAAGTTCGAAAATGATCGCTTGTGTGCTGTATGTGAGTGTGGAAAGAAATCGAAGAAGGTTCATTCTATTATCATAGAAAAATCAATCTTGGATCCATTGTAACTTCTGCACATCGATCTATGTGGACCATCCACTATAGAAAGTCTTCATCATAAGAAGTATATTCTTGTGATTGTTGATGACTTTACATGGTTCACGTGAGTCTTTATCCTTAGGCTATAGTCCGATACAACCTCTGAAATCATCAATTTCATCAAAGGAATAGAAGTTCTCATCAAACTTCTTGTAAGAAGGATGCGAAGTGATAATGGAATCGGAATTCAGCATTGGTACCATTGAGAAATTCCTCACCAAGAAAGGAATTGATCACAACTTCTCAACTCCTTACACTATGCAGCAGAATGGTGTTGTTAAAAGATGCAATAGAACCCTTGTTGAAGCTACTTGATCTATTCTCAATTTTGCCAATCTTCCACTTTATCTGTGGGCCAAATCCATATCAACTGCTTGCTTCACTCAGAATTGGAGCATTATCAATCAACGTCTCAACATGACACCATATGAAGCCATGAATGGTCGGAAGCCAAGTATTTCGTTTCTCCATGTCTTCAGATGTCTCTGTTTCATCAAAAACAATCGTGATCAGCTTAAAATATTCCAACCCAAAGTTGATGAAGCAATCTTTATTGGGCACTCTTCAAAGTAAAAGGTGTATCAAGTACTCAATCGTTATACCCATGTTATAGAAGAAAGTTTTGATGTCACCTTTGATGACAATTTCGTTCAGAATTGTAGTCCAACTCATGTCACTACTCACATTATGGAGTCCGATGCTTCTCCTCCTGAATTTCCGAACATTGAAGTTATTTATGAAGTAGATTTGAAACTCTCTTTGGACCATCTGAAATAGCCTTTGATTCAGAATCTCAGAAAAGGAAAATTTCAACTCTTGAAGTTCCTATCTTTCAAAATGTCTCCATTCCTATGCCCACCTTTGTTTCATTTGATTCTGAACCATTTCATCCTTCTCAGGTTGAGGGTGAGAATGATCAACCCTCTCTAGAATTAAATTTGGATGTGCAGCTGTTAAATTTCATACTGTTAACAATGATGATGACGTAAATTTCTTTGAATTCCCACATGATGATGATGTCAACCTCTCCCATTCAAAAGTTCAGAAGGAGCATCATCCTCAAACTCAAACTATTCAGGGGGAGCAACACAACTCTATTGTTAATATAAGATCATCTGCTGTAGAAGAACTACCAATACTTGATATCTGGACTCGAGATCATCCTCCGAATCAGGTAATTGGAAATCCAAATGATGGCATTCAAACTCATTCTGCCACTAGTGTTCAAAATGAATGTCATTTTTCAGCATTTAACTCTATGGTTGAACCCAAATCCATTAAAGAAGCATTAGAACATGCTGATTGGATCACAACCATGTAAGAAGAATTAGCAGAGTTTGATAGAAACGAAGTGTGGACTCTTGTTCCTCATCCTTCGGATCACCCAATTATCAGTACAAGATGGGTATTTCGAAACAATCTAGATGATGCTGGAGTTATCATTCGGAATAAGACAAGACTTTTAGCCAAAGGATTCACTCAGATCGAGGCTTTGATTACGACGAGACCTTTCCCCCTGTTGCTCGTCTTGAAGCAATCAAAATCTTTCTTGATTATGCTGCTCATAAAGGATTTAAGGTTTACCAAATGGATGTTAAGAGTGTTTTTCTCAATGGTGAACTAGGCACTAAAGTTTATCTTCAACAACCGCCTAGTTTTGTCAACCTCCCATTTCTGAATTGTTGCTACATGCTCAAAAAAGCCATATATAGTCTCAAGCAAGCTCCTCGCGCCTGGTACGAAATGTTCACTGACTTTGTCGAACGCTACGGTTTCCAAAGAGGAATTCTCGACCCAACCCTGTTACAAAGATCAAATGGAAAACATCTCATGCTTATCCAAATTTATGTTAACAACATCATTTTTGGATCTACCGATTAATCAATGGTTGCTGACTTTGCAAAAATAATGGTCAGTAGATTTGAAATGAGTATGAATCGTGAATTGAGTTTCTTTCTAGGTCTCCAAGTTAAACAGACCGATAGAGGAATCTTTATTCATCAAGAGAAATGCATCTCTGAACTCCTCAAAAAGTACTCAATGGACACATGTGCCTCAGCAAAGGTACCTATGGGTTTTGGTCACAAAATCTTCTGGGACCCATCAGGTGTACCAGTTGATGAAACGAAGTACAGAGGAATGATTGGATCCCTACTCTATCTCACAACAAGTGATCCTGACATCATGTTTGCTACCTGTCTCTGTGCTATATTTCAAGTCAATCCGAAAATCTCACACCTCTTGGCTATAAATCAAATATTCTGATATCTAAAAGGAACCAATAGTCTTGGAATTTGGTACCCAACAAATGAGAGTTTTCTTCTTCAAGCTTATTGAGATTCGAACTATGGCGGTCTTCAATTAGATAGGAAAATCACTTTGATGTCAATTTTTAGGAGGTCGATTGGTTAGTTGGTCATCCAAGAAACAGAACTGCATCGCACTTTCTACTATGAAAGCAGAATACATTACTGCTACCAGCTATACTTCCCAAGTTCTCTGGATGAAATCTCAACTCTTGGATTATGGTTACCGCTTTCAACTCATTTCGATCTATTGTGGTTCTCAAAGTGCCATTACGATCTTGCACAATCCAATTCAACACTCCATGACGAAACGCATTGACATACGGTACCACTTCATAAAAGATCATATTTTAAATGGAAATATTGAACTCATTTTTATTCCATCTAACGATGAAATTGCTGATCTCCTTACTAAGGCATTAGACGAAACCAAATTCAATGGTTTTCTGAATAAAATGGGTATGATGATGCATGATCCTCAATTCTTTCAGGAGGTATGTACTCTCTGATGGCAACATTAGAAAGTATTATTGTTTTTGAAGCAAAATTCTATAACATTTCGGAACTATTTCCTCTCAGACAGTATTATTGGTTCCGATGCATGATCCTCAATTCTTTCAGGAGGTATGTACTCACTGTAACCCAATGAACTTTCAGGTTTTGGTTTAAATGGTCCCTTGTGATATTTTTTGCATTATAAGGGAACGAATTCAACTCTTACCGGTTAGTTTGGCCAAGTCACCTGTAATAATAGGTTACTAATGTAAAAAAAGTGCCACATAGGAAATAATATGTTGATTTGTAATTATATATCTCTATATCGGTCCTAGTCAACAAATATTGGTCCCCACCACCTTCTTCCCTTATTTCCTTCTTCAGATCATCTCATTCCCTCCTTCCACCCTGGTTTTCTTTCTAAGATAAATGGAAGCCTTTTTCATCTTGGGTATGAAAATGAAGATAAAGGTATCCCCGTCAAAATTAAACCCAAATCAAACCTCACCATTACTTCAGAAAAAAAACATCACAGGTTTGAAACCTATGACCGCCCTGTTTACCGAACACTATATATCGTTGCTTTGGTTACTGTCAATGACGATGCCTCCTTTTGCCGTTGCTCTGCTTCATGTCTACTTCAACCACTAGCCGGTGAAATCCCTCCCCTTCCCTCCACTCACTAGTTGACCCTTCCCCACTGCCCAAATCAGATCAATATTATGAGAGATCAGGGGATGAAGATCATGTGTTTATGACCGGAGGATGAAATTAAGCCTAAATCAAACCTCCACCATTAAAAATTGAACCCAGATGAAATTAAGCCTAAATCAAACCCAACGTCCTGAATGTTCAACAAAGAAGCAGTAGAGATTTACGAGCATATGATGGATAGTCCTTATAAGCAGTTTTTGAATCAGCCTTAGGAGCTTCAAGGCCTCCTCAAATTTCCTCTCTAACAACAGGTTTTTGATCAAATTCTTGTACGTCGCCTGGCATGGTTTCACCCCACCTATCTTGTCTCAGTCATTTCAAGCACCTGGTGTGCTTTAATGGCCTTGTTTTGACTCAATAATCCATTTACCAAAACATCCAAAAGATCTGCATCAACCTTGCAACCTTTCTCGATAATGTTGGAGAAAATGATCAGAGCTTTGTCAACTTCATTGGCTGAATAGTGTCCCTTGATTAGAATCGTCCATGTCTTGATGTCAGGATTGCAACCATTTGCTTGCATTTCATTGAGCACCTTGGCTGCATCTTCTAGTCTTCTGGCTTTACATAGACCAAAGATTAATTAGTTGTAGGTTATGTTATCGGGTTCGTATCCTGCATCTTTCATGGCTATCATCATCAAATTGACCTACACTTGTTAATGATCTATGAATACCATCATAAACGCTTTTTGAAAGGGAGTTTCCTGTGGCTTCAAATTTATTTACTACCTGAAAAACAAGATCCAAATTTGGTGAAATGTTGCCTGCAATGGTTCTTAGAAGAACACTACAATGTTTAATTGAGGGCTTGTAAGGACTATCCATCATATGCTCGTAAAAAATATGGTTGAGGACACTCGAGATCACAATCACGGGAGGTTAATGAAATGTTGGAGCCGATTCATGTCTTTGGCAGGGTCTCTTGACCTAGATCTGATTCATAGAGGTTGCAATATAGAGAAATTCATCGATCCCATAGAGGGTCATTGTGACGTCTCAAATATTCAGACATGTAGCAAGTGAAGTGACCTACTTGTCTAATGGTACATGATGAAAAGGAAGGGTTTCACCGGGTGACCCATTCACATTTTTGATAATGTCATTTTAAATCCTAAAAACATGAATTCGTTCCCTTATAATGCAAAAAAAATATCACAAGGGACCATTTAAACCAAAATCTGAAAGTTCGGTGGGTTATGGTGACATTTTCCCTTTTTTATCTAACCTTTTCCTCAATATAAGTTGTATAGCTCACAAGTCTTTTAATGTTCATAGACCAATATAGTCACATTGTTCACAATCTTATTTCGGAACCCACTTCATAAGGTCATGCCGGGATTCAAATCCGGATTGGTTGTAAATCCTCAAGAACTTTTCAAAGTTTGCTTTGGAATGTTTTTTAAGTTTGCTCTGGAATGTTTTTCAAAGTTTGATCCGAAATGTTTTTCAAAGTTTGCTCTGGAAGTTTCAAAATAAAATTTTCTTTTGAAACTCTAACTGATTTTATTCTAAAATGCTCCGGAAATCTAAAGGATTTTAGGGGGAAACATTTTTCAAATGGTCATTTTTCAAAGATGCTTATCTTGTCACCCTTGAAATCCTCACCATGTTTGCACGTTTCATAAAGAAAACATCCCATCGCCGTTTGACGGTTTCTATTCCCCACTTCATTCCATACTCATCCTTCGTCATCAGTGGTCAACTCATTCCATAAAGGGTAAAACATTAAATGCAACCCGTTTCCATATCCGGTTCCTCACTATTACCCTTTTGAACCGATCCATTTCCATCACCTATAAAAAAACCCCTAAAAAGCCATTCTTTCTCTTTACGCACCCATATTCTAAAAAATTCTCTCAAATCCACTGTGTTCATCGTGTTCTTCATGTTATCATAATCCTTCATCAATGGCATCACAATCGTTTTCTCAGAAACTTGCTGAAACTACTTTAACACCCAAGAAAACTATCATCAAGAAGAAATCTTCCAAGGAATCTTCATCCTCACAATCATCTGAGCCTTTTCTAAGAGATACAACCCATCTTTTCTTGTTAAATCGCAGGGATTTCGTTGAACTTGTGAGAGGGATGATTAAGTTCATTGCTTATCATCCCATATCCATTCCACTCACCAAAGTCCCAGAACGTCCTCTACCTCTAACTCTTATGCGCACTGCTTTCACAAGAATCAAGATTCATAATGGAATTCTTGAAACAAAAATCACAGGCAATAGAACTGTGCCCATCCACAAATCCACTTTTCTCAGGGCAATCGGTGTTAAAGAAAACCAAAAAGGCTTTAAAGTACAAGAACCGTTGAATGAAGAATTCAAATAGTTCCTTAATCACATCGGTTATACTGAAGACTACAAGGCAAAAGATTTCAAGAAGTCTGCTGTTTCAAGACTTTGGACTGTGCTAATGCATTTCATCATTAGAGGGCTATCTGGAAACCATAGTGGAACAGACACCCTTAGCAAAGACTGGTTGAACTTGGTCTACAACATCTACTCCGGATGTAGCAATGCAGTCGATCTTCTAGAAGTTTTATGGTAGGATTTCTGCAAGTTTGCAATCAAAAGAAAGAGCAATGAAATATCAAGCCCTAGATTTTGGGCCCTGACAATCCAACAACTCTACAAGGAGAGATTTGAACAAATTCCTATGTGCTTAATTCCGAAAGACGTATACGTTTCCTTTAAAACTGTTAAGCATTAACGTATATCAGACCAATCTTCCTTCGGTCCCGTTAGACGACTTCCGGACCACATGTTGGTCTTGATTCCTTCTGGATCAATTCACTTGAAACATAAGCTAGAGACTTCGGTTGTGTTTGAACCAACATAACCTGCCCCAGTCTCTGTTGAGCCCATTACGGAAGATGCGAATCCATTTATGTGCGGAGGAAAGATCAAAATGTCTGCCAAAAGGAAGACTTCTCCCACCAAGTCAATGCCAAAAAATGAGATACAAAGTCACCTCTTCCTCTCAATAGAAGAGAGCTCATGAAATTTAGGCCGACTCAGGCCGTCTAAAAACCCCACCAACCCACTGATCCGAGGTGCCCCTTGATGTTTAAAAAACACAAGCACATACTCACGGGGAGTCTGCACATAATCCACCCTTACCTTCCCAAAAAGGTGATGTCGGTGTTGAACATAGTTCCTTCCCCCTGGAACAAACCCACAAGTAACATTTGCTATCCCATCTTCTTCCACACTCACACACTCCGGAACCCCTATTCCGGACCCCAATCATTCCGAGGAAGGAGTTGTCCATCCAACCTCAGCTGCCTCAACTGGTCTGATACACGGTAAGGGTACAAGATGACCAAGTATTAGTGATCCTTTGTGGAAAGATTTTGTGAACAGGGCTCATTCTCGGAAACTAGAGCTTACCAGATCAGAAGTGGAGTCCATTTTGATAGTAATGAAGAAGAGAGCCCTTCAAAGCAACTTGGCTTATGTTACTCCATTAGATGAGGTAGTTGATCTTGCATTTACCTCAGGAAAAACTCCCAAGTCATCATCCTACACATCAATTCATTCCACTTCATATGATGAACTTTCCGAAGAAGTACTGTTGACTGTAGATGGTGCAAATGTTGCTGATCCTAATATGTTTTCCTCTGTTCGTTTTATTTCCAAGCCATCCGCATCGAAGTCTGAATTTTATTTTGGCTCCTCCTCCTCCACTCATGACAATCAATTTGAATACACGAAGATACTTCAAGATGATTCCACAACAAACAAACCTGGGCCTTCCATTAATCTGGATCCTTCCGAACACAAACCGCAACACTCCAATTCTGACACCAGATCCTCCGCAAGAGATTACATTGATCTGTTTGATCTTTTAGAAATCCAAACCAATGTGTCAGACACCATGCAGAAGGTCAATTCTCTTGAAACCTCCATAATAGGGCTTAACTGCAAACTTGATGAGAAAGTCTCCGAACTCAATTCAAAGCTAGATGCTATCCTTAAATCTCTGACCGAAGCCAATAACCCCGAACCTAATATAGCTGAAGGTGAAGCCTAGCTGGATCAGCTTATCTCTTTATAGCTCAAACACACCATTGAAGACGATGAGATAAAGTATGATGAAAGTGTTGATCACTACCTTGACACGATCCCGAAGATGTTGAAGGTACATGACAATATGTTGAATTCTTCTAAAGAACTTATAAAGCAAACACATATTCATCATGAGAAGTAGATCCAACGCCTTGAAAAAGAAATTCAGAAGAAATATGAGTGTAACCTCATTATGCAAAAAGTCATTATCATGCTATTAAGAGCCTGTTCGAACATTATCGATGTTCCTAATCACAAATTCGATGGGATGCTTCCGATTCTTGGGCACTGTTTGATCATCTCAAATCCCAAGCATGAACTGTTGAAGCCTACAATGCTCTCACTCTTCAACTCAACACCAGCTTCCAAAAGGTGTTTGAGAAATTTTTTGATATTAAGGAGTCCCTTTTCCTTGCACCGGTTGTCAAGCCTACCGTTGCAAGAGGGGGAGAAGGTCCAAGTCAGCCTTGGAAGACTGCCTCAGAATATCAACTCTGAGATGAAGAAGGAAATTTTGATGATGAAGTCCAAGTTCTTTCCGGACATCTAGGAAATAATGATGATGAAAGTCATGATGAAGAGGAAGTTGAGTATGTCACCAATAATGTAATAGGAATCCCTGCTTCCAAGAAATATCTTGCTAAGGTGCTTACGGAGGAAGAGCTAAGGATTTGGTATGCAGTTTAATGGCCATCTACTCTGTCGGATGTGTTTAAAAGAAGCATCCAAGTGGCCAAAGCTAAAACACAGTTAACGGTTGACGCCTTGCGGGCCACCCCTTCCATGCTCCCCCCAATTGCTGCTCCAAGGATTGCCCTCATAGATCAAGGTTCTCCTCTTTGGATCCCAAATGATATTCTGGAGGAATCACTGCAATCCTCTCCTCTGAGATATATCCTAGATGAAAACATGTAGCATGTCATTTCAATCCTCAACAAAGACAAAGGTAAGAAGCCAATCATAGAAGAATATCAAGCTCTACACTACAGACCTCCACCAAATCAAAAATTCGGATGGTCTTAGGAGGAAATCAACAAAGCCTTAGAAGATAGCATCCGGTTCCAAGCTCTCAAATACAATCTTGTTCCGATGTGTGACATCTCTCCTCTATGCCGTGAAGGCATTCTTCGTGATTCAAACGTAGTACCCTTCATGTACTACAATATTCCAACAACTGATGCGGAACAACTTGATCTACCTCTCTCTCCATACAGTAAGTTCTACACAAAGTTTGCTCCTCTCCAACTAAATGATGATCCGGAGTTGATCATCCGGACAGAGCGTGAGCATTTGAAAACATTGTACTCCAAGAACACACAACCTCAAAAGGAAGCGTGGACAAGGAAAAGGATAACAAAAATATCTGGGTTCGGAAGAAAGATCTTAGTGAAATATGAACTCAACTGCCCAGTGCTTTGATATCACATCATCCACAACAAACCAACATACCGCACCATTTCTGATGCCGATTTTCCTGCATTCAATCCCAATGATGTCCTGACCATTGTTGCTCATCTCTGAAGTCTCCGAAAAGATGATATCAGCATGGGTGCTTACCACGCAGCCTTGAGCTTTCTCAAGGACTATGTCGCAGAATATTGTAGATGCGACTATGAGCTAGCCCACTTATTCAGAACTGAAGATTTTGTTGCCAAGATTGATTATGTGCTTCTAGAAGCTGAACTGCTAACTGAACGCCCTATTGATGATTCGGTCCTAGGGTTTGTGTACAAGACAAAGAATACAAACAAAA